TTCCCTCCCATCCAAACATAGGTCTCACTGCCCACCTAGATCTCTCCGAGTCTTTCCAGTCCCCCAGAGACACACGTACTGCTGGAGGAGTCCTTCCCCGGCTCAGTGTGTTACAAATCGCTGGCCTGAACAGAGGCCTGGCCAAAAGGAGCAAGATAACAACCAAGGGGCAGCAATTTGGTTCCCCCTGTCTTGCCCAGAACACAAGCATGGCTCAGTGCTAGGAAACAGCCGAGCTCCAGCAAATCCAGAAAGATCACGACACGTCTATTAATTGAAGCCCCAATTCCACATATAGGTCTATCCAATGAGAAACCCCAGAAGCCTTGATGAGATGTGTACGGTAAAAGGCTTTGCCAGCTCAATATTGAGTATACTGAGTTCATCTTGGCAGGCCTCTTCCATGTGTGGTTAAACCCTTCTCACTAAGGTTGGAAGAGGCCAAAAATATATTTTTTTATACAACAACATCAGTAGAAATGTAAGCTGGTTACTTCTGTTTTTCCCCTTTTCATCCATGAAGTACCTTCCTTCTTTACATATACTGCTCCTTTAAACTCCAGTCCCTATAGATGAGAATTTTTCAAGTTTCAAAATAAAAATCATAACACTTAAAAAACACATTCAGATTTTTAAGAACTAGGGGTACTATAGCTCCTTAACTTAAGGAAAAAAGTTAAGTCATACCTTTAAAAAAAAAGCTTAACAGCTTATAATTTGCCTGACTGCACTGCTAGGAGAGTATCTGATCAGAGTAGCTTTTGCAGCATCCTAAAGCCTCTTCTCAGCTTTTAAAATCAGAGGAATTGAGTCTGTGTTTTGCATGCAAAACAGGAAGGTGATTGTAACTTGTTTTCTACGTTATTTCCATAGCCTCCTGATTCTCTCTTCATAATCGAATCAAGACTGCATTGTTTTGAAAAGCAAAGCATAATGGGTCTCAGCAGGAAACTGCAGATTTAAAAATTCAGATAGTTTGGCTATTTATAACATTCAATTACTCCTCTGGTTAAATTAGTTCAGTTTCAAGACTTTAATTTCTCATTATGCTTTTGATGGATTATGGAACTATACAAGCAAAACAGGTCAAATTCACTGGTGACGTGAAAGGTGCTGAAGATGGTCACATAATAGTCAGCCTATAAAGATGAGATTGCAGGAATGAGAGCAGAATTTAGGACAGCTCACAAAACAGTTTGTGGATAAACCACATATCTCAGGTGGGACCATTTAATAAATATCCTTTAGCTAAGATTTGAAGACCTTGGGGGTTGGGTACCTAGGAGCAATTTGTGCCTTGGAAAATTCCCCAGGATCCCTGCTGAGAACGGAGATGCCCGAACTTCAGGCATGAGACTGTGGGACGTTAGCAACGATGCTCCACCTTGAACGGATGGGACTTAAGCGTAAGGAGCGCTGCCTGAGATATAGGAAAGTCTCTGCCTTCAAAAGCCTGTAATCTTGACAGATGAAGCAGTTGTACGATTGCACCCTTCTTTCCTCTGCGCGCTGGGGAAGGGGGGACAGCACAGAGCACCGCCCGAGCGAGCAGTAACGAGCTTCGAAAGGGGATACGAACAAGCTTTCGTCCTTGCGTCCCACAGCCGTCTGTCGGGCGGCATGGGGCCGAAGCAGGCTGTCCTGGGAGTCCTGGCCCCTGCGAGCAGCGCGCAATCCGGCACGGCCGCCCGCGGCCTGCAACAGCTTCTCTCGAAGGGCGCGGTGGGCTAGGAAAAGGAACCGGGCCGTCCCTCCACCCGGCCCTCCCTCCACCCAGCCGTCCCCCC